TTACTTCATAGGCTGGCGTAAAATGAACTACCATCATAAATTTTTTTGATTGGAATTTCTGTTACTATAATTTGATCATTAGTCATTGAAATACAATTATTGAAAATCAAGTATTTGAAATAGGTACTTGGGCATGTTTTTAAAAAAGATCAGAAGAATTTACCATCAGACTATTGAATATAATTTGAAAAGATAAAAGACTATTAAATATAATTTGAAAAGACCAAAGACTATTGAATATAATTTGGAAATAACGATCCTATAAAATAATCATTAAGGACTTTATATTTAGGTATCGTCCATTAAACAATAGTGCTTATAACCAAAATCGAAATTTGGTTATTAACCAAATAAAAAATGTTTGTTAAAAAATTAATAATGTGGTCGTATATCTCACGATAGTGATGTCTTCGAGATTTAAGTCTGATTACTTATAATTACATAATTCCTTAGTTTACTTGTTTTTGATATAATGTTGGTTTTACCCACGTACCTTTGAGCCCAAATTCACCCAAAGGATATTTTTTATAGTCGTCTAATTTCACTAGGGATTATATGTTGTGGCATATCAATGTTCAATTGCAAATATACTATTGTCTATACCAATATATCGTATATTATATACCATCTGACTGTCCGAGGTGGGTACCGAACTTCAAACCGATGATTCGAAGCCCGTAGCTCTAACCAATAGGCCATAAGAGAGTTCGTATAAGTTTTACTCAATATCAGATAGTTCTTACTTTATTGTTTCTACAATTCATTTCAAGAACTTATTTTTCAATTCTTTATATATTTTGTTAACATATATTATGGATTTATACGTTTGATGTATAATGTATGTTATAATGAAAAGTTCATATCAGCACGAACCACGTAACATACTTCATAATTTCCGAACGTAGGTACTGACGAAGTTCCACGGTTAAATATTTATGGCATTAGAAAATTACATTTCAGGAATATCGCGTCGATATAAATTGCCTAGCGAACCGCATTGAGCTAATATAAAGTATCGTGGTAAAAGTGCAGAGTTCCTTCGCCAACAGAACAATTTGTTAAGCACGTCTGCAACATTAATTTACGAGCTATCGGCGATAAATATTCGATGTTTAATGCGATATGTAACTTCCAACCAAGAAATACATACCGCAATTATGTGCTCGGGGGTACTTGATCATTGGCAAAAATTTTAATCGGTTTTGTGAAATATATACTTATACTATAATCTAACGTTTATATATAATTGGGTAGGGCGGACACAAAGGTAAAATTTGACTTTTAGAGATGATACCGCCTAAACCAAATGAACTAAATCACAACATATAATACATATCAAACTATCCATGATCAAACTATGCACAGTAAATTCCTAATTAAAGAAATATGCTCTCTTCTCTATTTTTCCAAAATTTGTCATCTGCTTTCACCCCATATGCGAGGTAAATAGGAAAAGCCTTGAGGCAAAAATATACAATGTCTCCAATTATAATTTTAATTGGAATTTACAAAATAATAGCTACATTATTTAATTAAAACGATATACAATTTCTATGGGAGTTTTTTTGGCACAGATCACACTGTATACAACCTGGATCTGGTTGGAAAAACTATTAATTAATTTAGCTTTTGTTAAATTGATTTTTTTAACTTTATTTACATTTGGATTTACTATTTTTTATTATTCACACCTTTGCCAGTGTAATAGTTCAGTTTGGCCTTTTTACACCGCCAACACGTAACCTTTGATAGAGGCTATATAAAAAAAAAGTTAAATCTAATTTAACAATAAAAATATCTTATAACATAATTATACAACGTATACATAAATATTTTGATATCATGAACTAAATAAAATAGTGCAAAATCAAAAAATACTAACAAAAAAATTACTTTTGTTTCGAATATTGATACATAGCCGTTTACTTCCTGATAGCGTCATACAAAAATTAAGGTCATTGCTGATTACATATTTTTTGCCTTCTATACATATTTCATTGTATCAACCGAATAAATAGTTTTACTAATAAGAGAAATATCAATAAAATTATAGGTAGAATAACTTGAAAGCGAAGTAAAATTTGTATAATTATAATATAGGTAAAATTTTTGGAAACAAAAAACGGTTTTGATGATATTGCATATTAGTTACCATAAAAAATCATTGATCTGCTGACTCTAATTTATGTTGTATTTACAATTTTTTTTAAAATAAATGACTTTAAATATTGCAAATTTTATATAAAAATAGTAAGATAACCATTTTAGCTTCTACCAACACAGAAATTGAGACAATTATCATTATTGAATTTTAGTTTATTGTATATTATAATGTATATTACTATAGTGTAACATTTTAGTAATCAATCATTTACAGAATTAATAATAATACTTTCGTAATTTTTTGCTTTTGATGTGATGCACTCGTCTCTCGATAAATATAAACATCATCTACTTGAGTTTTCAAACTTGTCTTATTTGTGAAAATTCATAGTAAAATGTTTTATGCATATTTTCAATATGTTTGTTTTGTGAGATTGTTATTTTATTGGAATATTGTTTGTGACATCGGTTCAGATTGTTTACGTGCAATCTTATAAATCATTTATTGGTTCTTGTCTTCAACTTTATGCAATATCCTATATTGGATCATGGCAGAATTTCAATAGAAGCATGCACATCGACATACATAAAACTTTTAAGATTCCTTCTGACTTGGAAGTACTTGCACAAAGGCTACTTCGGATATATAATGAAATTTTGTATGAGAATTCTAAATATTTGTCCTTGTAATCTTACAAATATTTACAGGACACAGAACTTAGCACACACAGACACATATATATATATATATATATATATATACTCGTATATATATATATATATACATATATATTATCATCAAATTAAATATCTTTCATCATTAGAATAATATTTAATATATGAAGCTTTTTCATATAGTTATTTATGTATGACATCATGTACATAATTGATCATCGAAAAACTTCATAACTCAATTATGATTTCATTGTAATGAATCTTATTTATAATATTGTGACAAAAGTCATGAATATTAAAAACCATCAATATTTTATTATGCTGCTAATATCAATTACCCAAAAAACATAAGTTTCTGAGATTTGATAATGAAGTTTTCAATAAATCAATCAATTCAACGTCTTTCTGATTCTATTAATTGTGCCAATTAAATTAACTTCGACTGCAAGCATTTACGATTAATTTATAGCCTCGTTTTGAACGTCCTAAAGGTTTTTAGTATTTATTCGTAATCGAATAGAGAGTGCAATTAAAAGTAAAGCCTGTGTAAAATCTTTATTTTACTCTTTGAAATAGTTTAATAGTTTCAAAAAGTTGAAAGAGGAGAGTTGCGAGCGTAATAGAGCAGAAAGTATTCATTCATTAAAAATCAATTAAGGTAGAGAAAGAATGGATTTCTGTCACTTTATATAAATTTAATTATGTATTCTATATAGTTGCTAATAAAGTGAAATATTCCAAAACAGACTAATATGAAAAAGTTAAAAATATTTCAAATCAAAATTTGGGATTATTTTTAAGTTTTCAAATAAAAATAATTGTTTTGTCAACACAACCAAAATGTTTCTTAAATCATTCAAATTGAATACTTTGTTCTCTCAAAAACTACCTGTCATTTTTTGCACTTTTAGCTCCGTATCTCTGAAACGACTCGACCTATCTTTGCAATAAACTAATCATTCCCCATCAATACAAGTTGAAAGTTTTTTTGAATCATTCAAATTTGATGCTCTTTTCTCTTTATTAAAAACTTTATCTCTATTCTTTGCATTCTTTGCTCCAAAATGACTGAGCCTACCTCTGCCAAAAACAAGTCAGCACGTATCCTTGTTAATAAAATTCGAAGTCTTTTTGAATAATTGAAATCGGATGTTGATTCGTGCTCCAAAAAAGCGTGGACAAATTATATCCACACATATACAAACACACACATACACATAACCATTTTTTTAAGGTATGCCAAAATGTAACTACAAAAGCAAGATTTATGATAGTAGTAAGAGTTGATTTTTTTTTGTTCATTGTGTTTAAAAATATATAATTAGATTACGATTTGCTAAACCCAATAGTTAAACCCAATAGTTGAACTGTACTGCATTGATTAAATGAGGTAACTGTTACTCCATACACCTCTTTAAAATTAAAAATAAAATAATGGAACTTCTTGCTTCCTGGCCACCCTGTCTATGAGATAAAAAAGACTAGGTAACAAATTTTTGAAAAATTACAAAAAACATAGTATCATTATTATAAATCAGCTTGGAATTTCAATGAACATAGTTAGATGTTTGTTTGGGATGTTTAATTTGTTTTGATGTAGTTGGTTTGGATTTCACAGTCAAACTGGATCTTTCTCTTTTGTTCTATCATATGTATCTGCAGGGAAATACATGCTTTTGGTTTAAAGATGTTTCACATCGTAGAAAAACATTTTTTTTTTTAATTTTTACTCCGCTTCACAACATTTTTAGCCACCACCATTATTCATATTATTTTCCAGCATATTCTATAAATCTCTTACATATATATATTTTTCATACATATATCATATATACTTTCTCTTCTTATATCATAATCATCCATTCAATTTTTCTATCGACTGATTTTCATTCTTCATCTTGTTTCTCAATATGTTCTTCTCATCTTCTAAACTAAACTTTTTTTTCCTTCTTACTTCTAATACAATTTTTCCTTGTATTCTACAAATTAACAATTCTTAATGTAATTTAATATTTCAATATTTAATTCTGGTATTGCTGAGAATACGAAGCGAATTCCTCGAGCGTGTGAGTAGAGAACGGTACTGAGTGAACTATATTTTCTCCTTTACTTTTAAATATATACATATATATATATATATATATATATATATATATATATATATATATAAATAAATCATTTCCATTCAGTTTTGTTTCAACTGTTCCTATTTTCAATTCCAGAACGGTCAGCCGTACGACCCCCATCGATCGCTCATCTATCAGTACAGTCTGGACCGCCGCGCTCCGCGTCACACGTACACCTGCGAGCAGAATGCGAACATCATAATGCGATTGGAACGCGACCGCCAGAATTCGAGTTTGAAGCGCCAGAACACCGGCAAGCAGCGGTCGCAGCACGGCAAAACGAAGCCGCGGCATTCGACCAGCGGCACGCATTCGAGAAGTGTCTCTGTCACCGACATGACAGATGCGATGAATGCGAATTTGCCGTTAACTTTGGAGAACGCGAACGCGTACACGATAGGCGACCACCAGGACGCAATAGTGACGACCATAGACAGACACCACCAGCATCACCATCAAGTGCACTTCCCGCAGATAGAGCCGCCGGTCAAGTGTAAGAAGCACAGCGCGCACAATGGTGTCGGATACGCGACGCACGGGTAGGTCATGAACTCACGAGGACACTTTAGACATAGTCGTTGATGGCGCATAGTATACTTATTATTTGATTTACTTTTTGCACATAGAAGTACTACATGTCACATCTTACGGCACCGTGCCACACCTTACAGTTAAATCTAACTTTTTCTAACAGTTAACATTATTCGTTTTGAGTGACATTTAAATCTGTAATTATGTCAAAATAAACTCAAATTGTTTTATAAATTTTTATTTCTTTATACTGTTATTAACTTCCCGTAGGGCAAGTAATAGTAGTCGCAAAAAAATCGAAAATGAACATTTTTTTGCAAAAATTTCTGAATATTTTGGCATACCTTAGAAAAAATTGATGTATGTGTGTGTGTGTGTGTGTGTGTGCAAGTATGTATGTATGTGCGGATATGAATTTTCGTCGACAATTTCGGGAACACGGATCAACCGATTTGAATAAATCAAAAAACATTCGATTTGTATTGATAAGGAGACGTGCTGATTAGTTTTTGGCGAAGGCAGGTCTAGCCGTTTCGAAGATACGGGCAAAAAGTTCCAAAAACGGTAACTCAGTTTTTAAGAGAACGGAGCGTACGATTTGAATAATTCAGTAAACGTTTTACTTGTATTGACAAGATGAAGAATTGATCAAATTTTCATGAGGGCAAGTCTGGCGGTTTCGGAGATCTAACAAAAAAAGTAAAAAAAAAAATGCCATTTGGCGGTCAAAAATGATCATTAGACATATGCACATCAAATTATCGGATATTTTAACTATAAGTATAAATTTTGTTTACATTTCTATGGGTTCCGTACCAATGTTTATCCGTTAGACAGCGACGCGGCGCTTACGCACTTTATATTTTGTCTCTATGCAGTTAAAGCAGTACGATTGCTTTGAAAAAAAGTTCAGATCTTCGAAAATATGACAAAATAAAAAAAAAGTAATGTCAAAATATTCAAAAAGTAATTTTTTGTCCAATTTACAGTTTCTCAAAAATTTTATTTTTTCGAAGTAAAATTTTTTCAAAAATGTTAATCGTTTTTAAAAAAATAATAATTATTGGTACGGGAAGTTCCAGCAATTTGCCTTAAGGCACGATGCCTTAATTGCCTTAAGACAGAATTCCACTTACAGCTAGTTCTGTTATGCGGCAGAATCGGTCCCTTAGTATACTATATACTGAATTTGGGCGATCGAACTTTTATGAGGAATACTACCATCTTTTTTAGGTTTTTCTAGCATATTTTTCAAATCTTTGTTAAATATTTCCTTTACCATTCGAGTTTATCACGCATTATAAAAACATGGTATTTTGGTTTTCAGTAGTATTTAATTATTTAATGATAACCACACTCATGGTTTTTACCCATCTTAGATTTATTGACTACTATTAATATAAGAATTTTCATTAAGTAAGAACTGTAATAAAATATTAATTTTGAAAAAATGCAACTAATTATAAAAACCATGTTGTCTTTGTTACTTTTTGAGACATCAAACCAAAAGGAACGATCAATACATGAAACCAAAAGAAACAAATCAAGATTGTAACAAACGGGAAAAGAATTCTTTGCAAAAAGTGCAAATCTCATCTTTTTTGTGCATCCGTTAGTCTGTTTCTAAAAGTAGTTAGAGTAGAGTAGAAGATAAAGCCAATCATCTTTGGCAGGTTTCAATTTTTTTTTCTGGGTCACGAATGTACGTGAATGAACCCTGCAGTGCTTGCGAAATGTAAGTGTCACTTTGTTTATTGTACAAATGTAATTTTTTCTGAAAATGAACAACAATAAATGAATAAATCCAATTTTCATCAAAAGCCTTTTAATTGTAATAAAATTGGCGAAAATCACTAGTGGTGGCATGAGTTCATTAATTTATTAAGATCAACCTATTATAAATAAATACAAATAACAATAAATAGTCCTAAAAAACATACAAATCCGCTTCCAAAATAAACTGATTACTCCGACAAGACTGTGGTAATGACGCTTAACATCTGACATGATTATTATTATGATTTTCTTTATACTATACAGTCGCGAAAACGTTACTGAAACTATACAGTTTTTAAATGAAGCCACTGTATCATTTAGTTCATATATACCATTTTATCCGTATTTTTTACCATTTACTACAATGTAACTACTTAATACTTTTAAAACATAAGTTGGCCATTCGTATTCATTGATTAATATTTTATTGATGAGGTCTATAGATACCGCTTTAAAAAATTGTCTTTATTTTTATATATCTATAGATTAAGGCTATAAAATTAAAAATAATTTCCGATGAGCCATTATATTGAGTATTTATTCTTTAAAACAAGTACAGTTTTCTTCATGTATTTACTGTAAAATGACTACTGTAAAATATTAACGATATCGTTCGTCTTGATCACAGACTATGTTGATGAAGTCTATACCGTATTAAAAATTGAATTTATTTTCGAAATACTATATATTGGGCAAAAGGAAAATTCTATTATTATACCCTGTACACTCCTAGTGAAGACGTATTCAATAGAAAGAAAATATACTCGCTTCAAAAATAAATATTGTGTATTTCGTTGAACATACTGGTTCGGAAATTGGAATTCTAAATATAGAAATCTTGTTATCATTCATTGTAGGCACGACCACAGTTGCATCGACACAAAACGGCCGACGACTCCTCATAGATTCGGCGATCAAGGTAAACCGGCTACTGCTTCCATCAAAATAACGCCTTGCGGTAAATCACCCGCTCCACCGCCTTGTGTTGTGGAAGACTCTCGGGGTCCTTCCACGGATGTTTTTCGAGAATTGCAAAGAACTGGACACACGCCAAGGTGTCCAAGGCGGTTTCATGACCAACCACCAGTTACGGGAGAGGGCGCACATTTCGAGTTAATGGACCGACGATGTTATGGTTCCGAGCCGGATCTCGCACCATACGACATCGCTCGACATTTGGCTGGATGTCCGCAGGCTGCTAGGGGATACACGCACCTAGAAGTAAGTGAATATTATTTTAGTGGACATTATTCTAATTTTGAATGAATCTATATCATATCCTTTTACGATTGATCAAACATGCAAAAAATTAATTGCGCCAAGTATTGAATTTTGTTTGTTCTTTACTGAATCATCTTTGATTACTTGACGTTTCTAGTGCAGAGTTTTAAGGATTCAAGTCATTTGATAAAACCCTGCGTCTCAGTAGAATAGCTTTACGTGTTGATCACCCTAACATTTTTTTTTACCTAACGAACAGTTAAATGAAACGAATTTTGTCAACGATTTCAAAAATTTCGTTGATTTTTTATAATAAGTTTACCTGTTGATTAGTCCAACCGTTTTGTTTTCTAATAATTTAACAGTCGAATGAAATAATTTTTTTCAGCGGTTTCCAAAATTTCGCCGCTTGTCATTACGTGTTGATTGGCCTAACCGTTTTGTTTATTTGATGAATACTTGAAAAATAAATTTACTCAACTTTTTTAATAATATGTTTTTTTTTCATTGATGGAATAAAAGTATTTTAATGAAATATTTTAAAATGACTAAGAGTTGGTAGCATGAATCAACAATGGAATTTGTTACATTGTTTTTTTTTGTTCAGTTTTTTTAAATTTTTAAGTAACTTAAAATGATTATGTGATACCAAACTTAACCAATCAATAATTTCAACTTCAACAGCGTTTTATAGTAATTACAAATAAAAATAATAAAATTTAAGTTAGGTCATTAAACAAGACATTCAAAAATTTAATAAAAATAAAAAAATTGTTATGACTTTACTAAAACACCAATTTAAATTTTCAAACCTATAGATATCTTTTTCTCATCCTTTGCTTACTAGACATCATGGAGAACTATACGATTTATTTTATATTCAATTGATTTTTCAATATGAAATACACCATATATATCACAATTTCTGTTGGCAATTATGCAGAAAATGATTAAAACTGAGAACTCTGCTATTAAGTTGTTAAGTTGAAAGGGTTGATATTTACCAGATAGAAAATTTTCACAATGAAATATTTTAAAAATACCTATGAGTTGGCACTATGTATCAGCAATGGAATTTGTTTTTTTTTTGTTTTGTTTACCTTTATGGAAAGCAACCCATTTCTGATTTTCTTGAAACACAAGTAAGCAATTTGAATTTAATCATGACGTTGTAAAATCGAATGGCATGCGTTTGCGTATATGGGCTCGTTTTCTCGGAAAATACGCTGTGCTTTTCAATGACTCACTGCGCTAGATTTGTTACATTCGGAGGGGAAAAAGCGCGTGTGATTTTCGCACACGAATTGCTGAACATTCGCGAAATACGCAAAATGTTTCGCGATAATATTATGATTTCAATTCACACGTTACAATTGATAAAAATTATGCACGTATTTGTTCAAATAAAAGTTTCTCGAAGTTGTTGAATAATGCTCATTTGCTCGAGAGAGAATATTCTGTCGACGAAAGGAAAGTTAGTCCGGAATTTAAAGTTGACGCAACGGTGAGTTTTAAAAGCGATGTTTTTCACTTGAGAAGTTTGGTTTTCATTTATAGTTTGGAAGATTATGCATGGCTGTATAAATGAAAATAGACGTATACTTACACACAAAGCCACATATATAAATACATATATATATATATATATATATATATATATATATATATATATATATATATAATATACATATACATATACATATATATACATATACATATATATACATATATATACATATACATATACATGTATATCTTATATATAAAAATCGAGCTCTCTTTCAAATGTCTAAGTAAAACTCGAAAACGGCTAAACCGATTTGGCCAGTCTTAAGCTTTAATAATTCGTGCCAATCCAGACTCATCTGAATATCCGAATATCCGAATATCCGAATATCCGAATATCCGAATATCCGAATATCCGAATATCCGAATATCCGAATATCCGAATATCCGAATATCCGAATATCCGAATATCCGAATATCCGAATATCCGAATATCCGAATATCCGAATATCCGAATATCCGAATATCCGAATATCCGAATATCCGAATATCCGAATATCCGAATATCCGAATATCCGAATATCCGAATATCCGAATATCCGAATATCCGAATATCCGAATATCCGAATATCCGAATATCCGAATATCCGAATATCCGAATATCCGAATATCCGAATATCCGAATATCCGAATATCCGAATATCCGAATATCCGAATATCCGAATATCCGAATATCCGAATATCCGAATATCCGAATATCCGAATATCCGAATATCCGAATATCCGAATATCCGAATATCCGAATATCCGAATATCCGAATATCCGAATATCCGAATATCCGAATATCCGAATATCCGAATATCCGAATATCCGAATATCCGAATATCCGAATATCCGAATATCCGAATATCCGAATATCCGAATATCCGAATATCCGAATATCCGAATATCCGAATATCCGAATATCCGAATATCCGAATATCCGAATATCCGAATATCCGAATATCCGAATATCCGAATATCCGAATATCCGAATATCCGAATATCCGAATATCCGAATATCCGAATATCCGAATATCCGAATATCCGAATATCCGAATATCCGAATATCCGAATATCCGAATATCCGAATATCCGAATATCCGAATATCCGAATATCCGAATATCCGAATATCCGAATATCCGAATATCCGAATATCCGAATATCCGAATATCCGAATATCCGAATATCCGAATATCCGAATATCCGAATATCCGAATATCCGAATATCCGAATATCCGAATATCCGAATATCCGAATATCCGAATATCCGAATATCCGAATATCCGAATATCCGAATATCCGAATATCCGAATATCCGAATATCCGAATATCCGAATATCCGAATATCCGAATATCCGAATATCCGAATATCCGAATATCCGAATATCCGAATATCCGAATATCCGAATATCCGAATATCCGAATATCCGAATATCCGAATATCCGAATATCCGAATATCCGAATATCCGAATATCCGAATATCCGAATATCCGAATATCCGAATATCCGAATATCCGAATATCCGAATATCCGAATATCCGAATATCCGAATATCCGAATATCCGAATATCCGAATATCCGAATATCCGAATATCCGAATATCCGAATATCCGAATATCCGAATATCCGAATATCCGAATATCCGAATATCCGAATATCCGAATATCCGAATATCCGAATATCCGAATATCCGAATATCCGAATATCCGAATATCCGAATATCCGAATATCCGAATATCCGAATATCCGAATATCCGAATATCCGAATATCCGAATATCCGAATATCCGAATATCCGAATATCCGAATATCCGAATATCCGAATATCCGAATATCCGAATATCCGAATATCCGAATATCCGAATATCCGAATATCCGAATATCCGAATATCCGAATATCCGAATATCCGAATATCCGAATATCCGAATATCCGAATATCCGAATATCCGAATATCCGAATATCCGAATATCCGAATATCCGAATATCCGAATATCCGAATATCCGAATATCCGAATATCCGAATATCCGAATATCCGAATATCCGAATATCCGAATATCCGAATATCCGAATATCCGAATATCCGAATATCCGAATATCCGAATATCCGAATATCCGAATATCCGAATATCCGAATATCCGAATATCCGAATATCCGAATATCCGAATATCCGAATATCCGAATATCCGAATATCCGAATATCCGAATATCCGAATATCCGAATATCCGAATATCCGAATATCCGAATATCCGAATATCCGAATATCCGAATATCCGAATATCCGAATATCCGAATATCCGAATATCCGAATATCCGAATATCCGAATATCCGAATATCCGAATATCCGAATATCCGAATATCCGAATATCCGAATATCCGAATATCCGAATATCCGAATATCCGAATATCCGAATATCCGAATATCCGAATATCCGAATAACCGAATATCCGAATATCCGAATATCCGAATATCCGAATATCCGAATATCCGAATATCCGAATATCCGAATAACCGAATAACCGAATAACCGAATAACCGAATAACCGAATAACCGAATAACCGAATAACCGAATAACCGAATAACCGAATAACCGAATAACCGAATAACCGAATAACCGAATATCTGAATAACCGAATAACCGAATATCCGAATAACCGAATATCCGAATATCCGAATATCTGAATATCCGAATATCTGAATATTCGAATATCTGAATATCGAAATCTCGGAATATCTCTAAAAATTGATTAGAATATACATTACTTAGCAAAACAACGTTTGCCGGGTAAGCTAGTATATATATATATATATATATATATATATATATATATATATAATATGTGGAAGGGTATCTTTATTGTACCAATAAAATATATCATGTGAATTAACAAATATTTCGTAGGATTTTTAATTTTCACCCTTTCACTCTTGTAATAAAAAATATGCATTTCTTATACATTGAACATTGAATAATAATAATCAAATTTATTTCTATTTTCATAATATATTTCTTTCTAAAAATAAAAATGTAATTTTTCTTATCAGTGGTGTATGCTGCTTTTAAATATGAAAAGGACAACCCAACGAAATTTTTCATAAAAATTGTGCCTATCTAACTACTATTCTTACTCAAAAATATTATTCACTACCATAAGTACATTACACCAACTACTGAAAAAACAATCTTTAGCTTTTATCTGTCATAATTTTTGTTAGTAACTAAAAACTTGTAATGATTCTAGTAAAAACATTTTATCCCAATATTCTACTTTATTTATAGTAGTTTTATTCATTCCAACATGGAAAATTTCAATTAGGACATTCTTTATCCTCCACTTCGATTTTTGTTAAATGTCCATTAGTTTGGCTATTATACCAGGTAGTATTCCCATCCAACAAATGAAAACGAAACATCGTTTAATAAATTTCCTAATGTTTGAAAAAG